AGGAATTAGGGTAATTGATTAGATATTACGATCATTTAAGGAATTGAACTTTGATTAAAGAACTTAGGAATTCAGAATATAATTAGCTTTAAAATTGAAGACTAGGTAAAATCAACCCTAATCTCATTTGATAAGTAATCTTATTTCTCAAACTTTCACTCTAGTTTCTACTTCATTTATATTTTTTTGCACTTTTATGCTTTTATTCTCAAATATTCAAACTTCTACAAATTATAATTAGCTCAAATAGTTTTTAATTTTGTGAATTGGTATATGAATGTGTCAATCCCTCCAAACAATACTCAAAACTCACAATTACGTATTTTATTACTTATTACAAGTACGTACCATACTTGCCAGATAAATTTAAATACAACAGTCATAATCAAGAGAGAGGCGTAAATTGTCATAACTTTATAAAAGGACGTAAAAAATGATAAAGTAAATAGTTGATGTTATAATTGTCATAAATTTAGACATTGTTTTAATGAATGTTAGAGCTCTATAAGCAGTAAAAAAAAAAACTTATCTTACTAAAGCAAAAAAAAAAAAAAAAAACTACTATTGGTTAGCAAATAGTATAAAAATGTTCATGTGGTACCTTAACACTAATGTTATCAATCATATAGGTAATCATAATGTATTTTTCATGAATCTTGAGAAAAAGCGTGAAAGCAAAATATCTTCTAATAATAATGCAAGTTATGAAGAAATTCAATTCAAATAAAGGAAATGAGTTATGATAATAATTAATTAAGAAATAATATTACTTAAATAACAATTGCATGTTGCATTTATGTATTTTGTTCTTTAAATTTAAAATATTATACATAAACTACCTTAAACTTAATTTGAGATAAATAACACTTTAATTTCTATAGTTTCATAGATTCATACACTTAGCATTAACAAAGAATCAATGACAAAGTCAAATTAATATGTAGTATAAAGAACATAACTTATAATACTACACATTTCTAACAATTACAACTATTCCATTCAAGTGTTGTAAGATGAAATTACTTGTAAAATCAAAAGTTATAAATCTCAGAATAATTAGCTTAGTTTGTCACATGCTATAACATAAAATTTTATATTTTTAATTCTATCTTCAAAATCTCATGTCAAATCAAGCAAAAGATAAAAAGTTAAGAAGTATTTATATAAAAGACAACTTAAAGCATGATAATTATAAAACTTACAAGAGGATGAAAGCATTAGAAGAAAGATATACTTATAAAATTATGTAGTGTATTCTTTATGTAATCAATATTTAAAATCTTCTAAAAATATTTAGATCATAAAGTTGGCAAAGGAATAACTTTCAGGTGGAGTTTCAACTATAAAAAAAATAAAAAATTCTACATTAAATGAAAATTCAATAGAATAATGGTAAACAATATTAGTTCCTTTATATGGACAAAATGCTATATTCTATCGTAGTTTACTTACATCATTAATATACGAATCAAATTGATCATGTTATTCTTTATGTGTAGATTCTTAAATAATTATATGGCAATTAATATATTAATATCCAATTTCATCATAATAATCATAACCTGAAGATAATTTTTCACTATTTTAAGATAATCATATTTTTCATGTTTGACAATATAATAGACATTTCCAAAAGGCTTTTATATATCCATAATAATCAAGGTCTTGAAAATTTTAAAAATAATATATTTTGACAATATATAACTGTCATATCAAATTTCACTCATTTAAGTTTTCTATTAACATTATTAGTGTAATTTGCTCTCATAAAATTTCATTACTTTTCTCTTAAAAAGAAATATTGTGCAAGTTGTTTGAGATAACATTTGAACATTATAAATTTGTATTGTTTAAGAATTTAAAGTTTATTTTTACATATTCAATTTGGATTCTTAGAAGAACATGATGTTTGTCAATATAATAGTTTTAAGTCAATCTTTGTACATTTGAACATTGAGTAATAAGCAAATTGACCTAAATTTGGTGACAATTGAAGAATATGTTGCTAATTAAACTTCTTTAAGAATAATGCTTTGTAATTAAAGTTTTGTTTTATTAAAGGCTATATGTATAAAATTTTGAACATCATTTAAAATTCTCAAAGAAAGCATGAATATATATATAACAAAAGTTTAAGATAAATTAATTATGAGAATGATGCATGGAGAAATAACACTTGGGATTTTATCCCAAATGAGTTGGTTTACAATAAAATGTTTAATCAATTTTAAATTTTTACGCTAAAATAAAAATACTATAATTCTAATTAATTTAAACATAAATCATTATACATTTTCTTTTTTAAAATTTTTACTTATTAAACATTATAATTTGTTGTAAAAAAAACATTTATTACATTTTGAATTGAATTTTTTTTTACTTAATATATAAATTTAATTTAATTTATGATTTCATTAAAAATTTAAATATTGTTACTTAGTATGAACTACTTGCCTACGAATTTTAAAAATATATTAAAATTTAGTGAATAAAATTATGTTTAAACTTAATTTTAAGAGAGATAATACAATCACTAATGATCTTCACGTTATAAAAATATGTTGATTTTGTTATCAATTAAAAATTTTAATATAAAAAATATATTAGCCTTATAAATTTTTTTGTCTTTCCTAATTTAAGTATTATATCTTGAATAAGCATGTATTTTTTTTTATATAATAAACTTAGATGGAAAAAATCACTATTTTTCAAGTACTAAATTCATGTAAAAATTATTATTTAATGACATTTATAAAATGTTAGTACATAAAATAGCAATAATTTTTAAATGAGAATCAAATTTTCTTCTTCTCTTAATTTGGTTCTCATTAGCATAAGGCACTAATTTAACTAGCTTGAAGGTGGAATCCTTCATTAGTGATGAGAATCAAGGAAGGCCCATTAAAGACAAAGACTTGAAGGCATTGGAAGAGCTTCAAGGACCAATGACAAGGGTAAGGGCAAAAAGAATAAATGAAGACTTAGAAAAGATTGTTCCTGTCTTATTTGAAAGGGAGCTCAATTTAGAGTTAGAAAAGTCCAAGATAATCAATTACATATGCTTAGAGGATTTGAACTCTAACGAGTTTTATTAGGATTTAATTATTATGTTTAATTTATTTATTTTAATATTAGTCATTACTTATTTTGAGTTTTTATTTAGGATAAAATCTTGTTATTTTATTTAGTCTATTTGAATTTAGGCTTGTTGGTACAAGAAGCCCATTAGGGTTTGCGTTAGTATTAGTTTACAAGCATTATGCATATATAAGCTCTTGTAAACACACTTTTAATTAGTTTTGAATATAATTTGAGATTGAACACTCTTGTGAGAGCGTGTGACTCTAGGTTTTTGAGTGAGTCAATTTTCTTTGATCTTATCAAGAGGCCAAAACTCTTGTGGCGATCGTTCCTTGGCTTATCAATCTTGCGATTGTGGCGCCATTTTCCATCTCTATTCTATTTTTACTTCTTATTAATTTTCTTCTTATTTCAATTCTTATTTGTGTCGTAATAATTTCGTTTTTATTATGTGAAATCCAATTCAAGATCGTTTAATTTGGTGACATGGTTTGTGATTGTCATCAATTAGTGAGGGCACTCTTACTACAAAATTGAATCTAAATGTATCAAATTATAAATAATAGATTGAAAGTCACATTTAAGAGTCATGTTCAAATATTTTTTTAACAAAAAAAATATGTAAATTTATTCACATATTTTTTTTAACAAAAATTGAAGCTACTTTTAGGAGTTATATTCGATCTTTACATACAAAATCATTTCATATTCATTATAAACAAAAAAAAAAAATTAACAAACTCATAAAAACATAAAAAAAAAAATACAAAATAAGAAGATTGGTCATAGATACTTGTAAGCAATTAGGCAAAATTTCTCTTGTACAAACAAAGACAAGCTTTGTGGAAGAAAAAAATATTCTAGTGATCGTATTTATTATGAAGATAATAATCACCCTAATATCTATTAAAAATATATCACAATGATAGTTTGTGATGATATTTTAAATTGTCACCAAAAAATTAATTTTTCTAATATGTGTAACATTGCACAACATAAGTAGATGTGACAAATTTTTATTAAAAGTTGTGACATTTAGTAGTACCAATGCATTTAATTACATTGAAGTTTGTAATTTTTAATAAAAAGTTATTATATATAATTTCTTATCATGTATAACGTAACTTATGTTGGAAAATTGCTATTAAATTAAGGGCATAATTTTAATATCATAATAAATGGAAGAATTTATGTATCTCTCTACTTATCATAGATATTAAAACTGAAAATTATTGTCACCACTTACTACCTTATGGTACCACCTCCAATCCTCAACATCAAAATTCAAGATTCTCATTTCAAAGTTATTTTATTTCATCTTTTTTTATCAATCTATTTGATGTTTTGTTGTAATAATTTTACAAAGAACATATCATTATCATTTATTCTTACTTGCAACCAAATGTAATCAAATGTGTCATTTTAAAATCTCAATTTGTAGTAGTGGACATGTTGAGTTCATTGTTATAGTAGCCAATAAGTGCTGATTTGAGATGTAGTAGTGAACAACTTGTATGAAGTGGTGACATTCTAGGTTCTCATGTATAAATTAATAATTATGAGTCATGTTGAAATAAATGTTATTAATTTATGAGTTCACAGTGGAAGGGTTTTAAACATTCAATTTTAAAAAGTATTGGAAAAATGTTCTTAAATTTATTAAAAATTATATATGACAAGCATATTTTTGTCATTGTATGTTGTGACAATTTATGATTTTATCACTATAATAAAAATATTAGTGATGAAATAAAAATTAGTCAAAATAGTATTTATTTAATAAATTTTATATTTGTCACTAAATTTTAGTTCATTACAATAATATTTCTTCTAGATAAATGAAAAATAAAATATACAATTGTTTGCAGCTTTTGGAACCTATCTCAATTAAGTAGCTTTTCCTTGATGATAAGCAAAATTCAGTCACGACGCTCATACTTGCGAGCCCATATGTGCTTTCCATTAACCTGAAGCTTTGCAACACGCTTTCCCTTGAGAACTTGATCTACTACTCCCACAGTTTTCAAAACCATTATTGCAAATAAAGGTTGGTTGTTTGCATCAGTACTTCCCATGGATAAAGTTTGCACACAATCTCCATATGCATATATAAATAATTCTCTCACCTCCAATTCTGACACAGGAAAGCCTCTAGAAAATGTTAGAAACATAGATTTGTCATCGTCAGTAACTTCATCACATGGTCCATTTCCAGTCCATATCCTTTCATCAGATAGATCTAGGTTCACAAAATTCTTTGGTGGTATATCAAAAGTACCAAACAAAGGGTGTGGGAAACCAGGAACAATTATAGGCATGTTTAATATGTTACCTCGTGATGTACCAACTCTACTGATGTTAGAGCTTTTCAGAACAATCTGTAAAACATCAGCAAAAATTCGAGCACAAATATTTTTTAGAACACTTTTGATACCGGCTATTATGGTGTACCTTTTCTCATTGAAGATTTGAAGCGATATATTCCTTAGAGTTAGCCTTGTGGTAAGAGGCAAGCCACCACCATTTGGGATGGGAAAGTTTTCTATCTCTAAGCACTTTAAACAAGACAAAGCTTCAATAACCAAAGCATTGACAAGAGTAGAAGGTAACCCCATCACTCTATGGATGATGTTAGGGTATCCATTGTGTTCTAGCCAAAGCCATAAGGCCATGACTAGAAGGGATTGTGTAGGGTCACGATGTACTTTGAAGATTAAGAAACAGAAGACCTCACGGTCAGTTTTGTGAAAAAGGTGAAGCTCTTCTGTGGAAATGGGCGCCATTCGTACTAGTGAGAAATGGTGAAAGGGAAAGAAAACAAATTGAAAGGAAGATGAAATTGTGACTCCAAATCAATTAAAGAAGCATCTTTGTACAACTCAGAGAGTCTATAAATAATAATTGTATTTGACAAGTGCATAGAGAACTCAAAATGTAACCGATGCATGATTTGAAAAATAGAAATAAGATTAATGAAGTGAGAATATATAAATAAATTAATAAAAAAAAAAAGCTGGGTAAGTGTGGACCTACATTAGAAAAGTGAACTCAAAAGGTAATAAAATATGTGTAAGACTCATTTATGATGCATGCTAATACAAACAAATACTTGATTCCATAATGATAAATTTGAAATTTGTTCAAAGTATAAGTTTTATAATGTGATGAATAAAACTCTTCATGTAAATTAATGAAATTTTATAATTAAAATTAAAAAATAACTAAAGAAAAGTAAATTATTTAAAAATAAAAAATTTTCTTTTTTAATAAATAAAAATTAGTATATAGTAAAATATAAATATTTATTAATTAAACATAGTAAAAATGTTTTAAAACATTTTTTAAGTTATGCAAATTGAAAGAAGAAAAGTATAACAGAGAAAAAATTATTTTGACTTATTTAGTTGAATAGAAAAAATAAATAAACAATATAGTAATACAATGTTATTCTTTTTTTAATAAATAAAATAAAATAAAAGATAAAAAAATAGACAAATAAATTTAATAACAATAATAATAAAGTCTTATACTATTAAGTCAAGTTCATAAACAAGTAAATTTAAAATTTTAAGAATTAATAATCCCTTAAAAATTTAATTTTTTTTAAAAAACTTTTATAAGAGCCTTACATTTAGTTTTTTTTGTCATTAAATTAGTTATCACAATTAAGAAATTAATAAAAATTAATCTTTTTATAAAAAGAATATATGAAAAATGCATTAAAAAATTTCCAAAAAATATTATCAAACTTTTTTAAAAAAGATAATGATTAATATTTATCTTTTTTTATGATTTTTTTTATATTAATGCACTTATTTTTTGTATTTTATATTGAATAATTAATGAAAATTTTAAGTCATTTGAAAAGATGTATTTTTTTAACATAAAATTTTATATTGAAAATTGATAAAGGGTTATTAATAATTTAAATTTTACTAAATTCATGTCATTTATGATTTTAATAATAAATAAATATTTTCATTAATTATTTTAATTTTAAAATTTCACTTTCTTAATATAAAATTTCAACCGAGTTATAATTATTCAATATTTTCAAACAACAAATTATTTTTGTTTAGGAAGATGCATTAATTTTTAACCTGATAAACTAACATTTTTTTATTATGTACAAGAGTTATTACAATTATTTTTATCAATTTTAAAATATTTATTACTATAAAAAATTAAATAAATAATTAAGAGTCTACCAAATACGTCCAAGATAAATTAATGCTTGATGACTCATAAGATAAGTGAATAAAAAATAAATATAATATATTGTATCAATGTTTATATATAATTGTGAGTGTTGATTCTTGAATAATAGTAGTTTTAGAAGAATTCTTAAAATAGCAATATTTTTTGAAAAATTTTCAAATAATATTTTTATTACTTACTTTTTTTTTTTAAACATGCCAAGCTGCTTTTTTATATTATTTATTTATTTTTAATTCAGCATGATTTAATTTTAAAATTTTAAATTTAATTTAATGTAAATTATTATTATTATTAATTATTATATTTAATTTTTAAAAATTTATAAAGAAGATTAAATTTTAAAATATTTATATAATATATTTATTTATTTATTTAAAAATATTTAATTTAATAATATATGTTCCTAATTAAGATTCAAAATTGCTTGATATTCTTTTAACTCTTCCAAATAAAAGAATAAGATAGGATTCTTTTTTTTATGCAATAGGAATTTATCATGGCCCATGATATACTTAGAAATATTCATGTTTATGCTTAAAAATATTGTTTTTTAAGTTTTTTCAGCATTGAGTGTTATATAAACTCTCAGCATATATTACAATAAAATATTTATTAAGTTTTATAAATTTAATTTATTTTTATTATAATTAATCACAAATCAGTATATATCTTTAATCATTTTCAGTTTTACTATTTTGTCTTAATAAATTTAATTTTTTTTAAATATTTTAATTTTTCTATTTATGTCATTTTATTTTTTTATTATATATAAGTTGTTAATTTTTTATTTTAAGCTTTGAAATTTCATCCTTATTTAATAATAGAATTATCAAAATATATTTAAAATTAATTAGCTATTATTAAATATATATTTTTTAAAATTACTAAACATGTTTATTTATTTATTTATGAAAATCTAAATATATTAATAATTAAATAAATAAATTATAGACAATAAATTAATTAAATTATGACTTAATAAAATTAGTAAAAAGATTACGTAATAATTATAAAAAATAGTAACAAAATTATTTATTTATTTTCAAGTATGTTTATAGTTGAATGATTTACTATAAATTGAATACAATACTTCAAATATATTCTTATAGCTACCAAACCACATTCATTTGTATCTAGCCTAATCTTTTATTTAATTTTAATTAACTTTAATTGTAATATTTTGATCACTATATTTTATCACACATTTAAAATATAATTTACAAATATTATTACAATAAAAACTTTTCAAATGTACTTTTTTATTATAATCCTCTAATACAATTTACAAATTCACTTATTCACTATTTTTTTTCTAGAATTTTAACTTTAAATAATCGATGAATAATTTATAATTTTTTTATTTATATTTATTTTATAAGATCAAATATAAAAATAAGATTTATAATCTATATCATGTCAAAAAATCAGGGGTGACTTTTTATGTCATAGAAATTACTTATTTCTTATATCATAGTAAAGTAAAAATTAATATTTTATCAACGATTTCATATTTATTTTATTTTATTTTATTTTTGTGTTTTTTAAAATTTGGCTTTCTTCATTCTTTAAATATAATTTTTATTTTAATATGTTATTATAGATGAGTACATAAAATAAATTCAATTTATAAATTTTTTAATTTAACAAATGTATAATAATTAGGTTGTTCATTTTTAATTTCTTTAATGAAAGTAATAATATTAATTTTATATTTTAATAAATTAATTAAAATAAATATTATTTTAAATTAAATCACATTATTGACATTTAAAAAAATATTGATTGTATTTATTTTTATTGTAAATAATTCAAGATAATAAAAGAATATTTAATTTGATATATCATTTACAGAACAAATATTGGTTGTAGCATAATTTAAAGAAACCTTTCTCTATAAAAATAAAAAATTTAAATCTAAAAATAATAAGTTTATTTTAGACTTTAATGAGACTCGGATATTAAATGAAACAAATCACTAAACCCTAAACAAATCACTTTAAAGAACTTAATAAACTTTAAATTAAGATTTTTTTTTTCAATTTGAGTGAAGTCATAGAAAATTTTGTGTAGAACATATTTAATTTAAATATAATTAAAAAAATACATTAGATCCTTGATAGATTAAGCCTTAAATATTGTCCATATAAAAAGAAAATATTCACACTTAAACTACTATTAATTATATTCAATCATCATGTTTTTATATGAAAAACATTATATAATAGTAAATAATGCTATAAGAAAAAAATATATTGAAACTAGATAAACATTTGATAATTAATCCTAAAGGATCGAAATTGATATAAATACCTATTTATCAAATAATTTTAAATGCATATTTTAAGAAGTACAAACAAATAATATTAGGGATGGTGGATGCTCGAGACAATACGGAAAGATAGTTTATATTTCTTAAATTAGGATTGCATGAGGAAATACATGTTATTTTTGAAATTAGAATAAGCAAGGTAGGTAAAACTTTTGTATTCACCATTCATATGTGTTATAAGTTAAAGGATTGGAATATAATTTACTATGTATTAGTCAATTTTGTGATAACAAATATAATTTTTATTCAAAGATAATGTATAGTAAAAATTAGTAATAACTCCATTTTTCATTACATATAGACAACATAATTTGTCTAAAATAGATCTAAAGGAGTTAAATAAATAAATAAATAAGAGAACATGTTTATTTTGTGAAAATGTTGAAGACTGAACATGGTACAAAAAAAATTTGGTTACCTTAATTTAAATCATATTTTATAACCTACAATTAAAAAAAATGTCTTGTAAAAGGTTATCTAAAAATATCTTTCAAAAGTTTTATTGTATATGGATTTATTTGGCTTCAATGTAGTTTTAAGTAGGCAATACAAAATATGAACAAGTTATAGTAAATAATTATAGCAAATTCACATGGGTACCTTTTATTGCTCATAAGGATGAATCTTTTGATGTATTCAAAATATTTTATAAAATAATACAAAAAAAAAAATATGTATCACATTTATTAGAAGTGATCATGGAATAAAATTTGAAAATAAAAAATTTGATATTTTCTATGAACAAATTAACATATTTCATAATTTTTCTTCTATAGGAACTTTGTAACAAAAATGGAGTTATAGAAAAAAAAAATAAAACTCTACAAAAAATGGCTAGAATAATGATTTCAAAAAAATATTATTCTAAAACACTTTTTGGTAGAAGTAGTCAATGTTACATATTATGTTCAAAATATAATTATTATATGATAACTATTAAATAACACTCTATATGAATTATATAAAGAAAGAAAACTTAATATATTATATTTTTATGCATTTACATGCACTTGTTTCATCCTTAATTAAATTGGTATTTAATTTTAAGATCGATAAAGGTATATTTTTATGATACTCTTCAAATTCTAAGCCATATAGAGTATATAACTTAAGAAATTTAATAGTAAAAGAATTCATACATGTAAGGCTTAATGAAAGAGAAATGTTCAAAAGAAAATTATCAAATATTGAAGATCAATTTATAAAGTTAGAAACTAGCAAAGAGACACCAAAAAA